TATTTATCATGTATTGCTTTTAGATCCTCGTCCATCCAATCGTCTCCACTTGCTCGGTTTCACTCAGCCGTATTTAGGTTGTCAAGGTGATGAAAAGTATGCAGGAGTAAGCCAGGGAGAAAGCTACGTGAGCTCGGTGTTCAAAGTCATTTAAAATCGTTTAGGGCTTCTTTTTTTCACATTTTTTCTCCATCTTTATCTCTTGTATGGCTTTGACTTGCTGGCCTGCTGTTGGTGGATTCAACAAAGTAGGCCGCTTTTATCGTCTGGGCTAGCCTTGGGCAGACTTAAAGATAAAAACGATAGTATTTGGTTTCTCTCCCCGTGAAAGTGGATTCGAGGGAAGTTCGGACATCCCGCCGTTTTAGGTTTAACTGTTCCCCACCGGGTGATCTGAATGGCAACGGACAAGATATTCACGACCGTGAAACCTGAAGCGAAAAGCAGGACAATGGGCCTTCAACATCACCTCCAATTATTCACACTCAAAGGCATATTTATTGTTCCCAGGCCGATTACAACCCAACTACATGATCACAGAAAGCATTTGAACTTGTTCGTTATTGCTATGACTGCTACGAGGAGATTGGCTTAATCGTCAGAAAGAGTGGCTACTAATCGCTAATTCGGGCCTCAATGAGTTCACACATTCAGTCGCAAGTGCATAAATGCTTGAGTAGGGCCTAGCGTCGCAGCCCGTATTTTTCATCTAAAAGGACAGAAATACAAATTCATTTAAAGCCATTTTGTATCAATGCTTCTTTATCTTCTCAGCCTAATGTCGATGTATACATTTGTTATTCTCTGTACTGGAGGACTCTTTGCTCTGTATTTTAACCACGAGACAATAAATTTTCGTCCTTTCTGTATACACTATTATTATAGAGATTGCAGCATATTGTATATCTGCAGTAAGTTGTCTGCATGTGAAGCCATTTAAAGATATCAGGAATTCGAGCTAGCGAATTTCTAGCTTTCCTTAGGCTGGCGGCTGACCTTGGCGTCTAAGCCTTGGATAGAGAGCTGAAGAGTCTGGCTCTAAAAACCAATTTGCCCTTAGAATTTGGCAATGGTCTATGCCAGAGCCGTCAAGATCCAGGCGTCGTTTATCTTCGAGTTCAAAGCAGAGCCAAACGGGGCATGGATTCGTGTTAAGCATTTTAAACCGTCTTATAATGAACTTTTAATATTTGTTTTCTGACCTTCTACAAATTAAAATTGGAGCTGCCCACCACGAATAGGAAAGAAAGACCTGCTTTAAAAATTTTTTCTAGTTGAAAGCCTACGAAGAGCTTCTAAACTTCCAACACTGCAATAATTTGAGGCAGGCTAGACCCAAGTCGATCACAGCAAAGTTGACCATGTGGCTATGGACATGCAAAAGTCAAGGGCCAATACAACTTTAATGCCAAGAGGCGAGAATAAAAACCTAACCAGAAAGTAACTTGGTTTTGATGAACCTCCTGAAATAACATTGTTGAAGAGGCTTTTATTTCGTATGAAAATTCATAAAGAAGAGATTTGAACATCGATCTAATCAGAAGAGGATGGCTGAATCCCGTTGTACTGTAGCCGTTTGCCTTTTATACGACGTTCAGTTTGACGCAGTTCACGAGGCTTCCCTCGCTTTGGGCAGCGTGAACTCCAGGCATCTTGAACGGTTTAGGAGTTTGTGTCAATGATACTATGATATGGCAGATATATTGTTAACACGAAAATCTAGCTGAGCTTATTTTGGCTAGATGGTAAAATCAAGCTTTATCAAGAAATTCATAAAAAAACGGTGCATAAGGATAAAAAATAAAGTTTCTGATTGATAAAATCAACCGAGAACTAACGAATAACTTAGTATATTACATATCTTAAGTTAACTTAGGGATTGATGGAGAAGCTCTTGTTCTTAATTATCTAAGTTTCTTTTCTCATAGCAAAGTCGAAATTGCAGTCTTTTCCGAATAAAGAAACCATTTTTGAGGCAAGGCTAAGTGAAGAGTACTAGTATCATATTGGCAAAAATTCTATACTTTTGATCACCTAAAGCGTTCTAATGGTGATTAAGTTCTTATTCAAGAATTGTTTAGAGTTTTAATGTATATTTACACTTCATGTAGGATTACTTACGATTATGATATATAGAATGAGGATTGGTTCTGCATTAAAACGACTCTAAACACGATGTTAATTTGCGTGAAACGGGTGGATCAAGCTAGAAGACTTGTGACTACTAAGTAGACCCTCAGTTGGCTGTGCCAACCGACTCTGGGGCAATAGTGTCGCCAACACTCTTGGCTTCCTTGTCCTTAGGTCCGGGAAACTTCGCTTGTCACGAATATTCTCAACGGTTTTCCTTTTCCTGTATCCGAGGTCTAGTAAGGGAGAGAGTCTGAGTCCTCTTGGCCACTAAAAATTAAAAAGAAAGTGGTTCAGCTCTATACCCACAGTTCGATGAGAAAGTTATGTCCACGGAGGAGAAAAGACTCGAAACGGGCACTTGTAATTGACACGTGAAAGAGAGGCCTTTCACGTCCTCGAGCGAGGCAAAGGCCACGAGGGCAGGATGGCAGCTGCTAAAAGCATTTTTACTCATCGAGCCCACTCTTCCCTTCTCCCCGTATTCCCTATGGCCGGCTAGGCTCAGATGGCCATAGAGATGGAACATTAAATCGACAGTGACAGCACTCCTCATGGGCATCATTTTAATGTACAGAAACGAGGCCCATGTTGGAGGGGAATCAGGGTGTGGATAAGAGGCGGGAGCAGCTCAATCATAAACATATAAGAAGCATCTCACAATGTGGATCGGTGGACGATTAGTGTGAAGGGGGGAGTGGGTTTCATGCAGCTGTGCAAGATCGCTAGCCCGTAATCTAATGGAATAGACACGAACCGCTCGCCACCCCCGCCCTTAGAAATTTGCATTAGCACCAAGTCAAACATTGCCAGGGCTGAGCAACCAACTGTTTGTCCAATCACCTAACAACCAATCTCTAATTCATTAAATCCCCAAGTCGCCTAATCAACTACTGCTTCCATCGCGCCATCTTTTGGGTAGATCTGAACACGTTTTCCCAAATTCTTTTGTTGTGTACCTCTGCCGTTGTATACTATGGACGAGCCTTGCTCAACACACCGATGTTTTTGGGCTTTGCTTAACCCGGCTTACTTGCCTGAGCCAAGACAAAGCACACGAACCCCCGGATATGAATCAACTTGGAGGCACTTAAATTCATCAGATTTGGGCGATAATGTCTGCACCGTTGAGAACACAAATGAATGAGACCCAAATTCTGTGTTTAGGAAGGTGCACGTGTATGCTTGAGTATGCGTTTGTTTGTGTATTAAGGTTTGATCATGACCGCATGGACGAACAAGTCAGTATTAGTGAGCTTATGGCTAGTATATGTGAGGCGGTGTGGGGCAAAGGAAAAAATAATAAATTTGGCCTGATTTTTGTTACAGGCCGTATTGGAGTCCCGGCAGATTGAACCTGGCTGGAGGGAAGAAAATCATTTTAGATGTTCGGGTTGCTTGAAGCTAGCTTAAAATGCGAAAAGAGATGGAGCGCCGTAGTTTGATGGTTAACCGTGTATGCATCACTCTGCTTGCCAGTGAGACGGACTTTACTTGAGGGAAATCAGCCGACCCACCAAAATTTCAGCCAACTTAGGAATAGACAACATGTGATGTGCCCATTGGAAGTGAAAGGAGGATCAACTGGATCCAGTTCCGCTGCGCAGCAGGTATTTAGATCCCTCAACGTTCTGACCTGGCTAATTCGTCGTAGTTACTAGAAGCCATATTGAATGCGATTCTTAAGGTACCTCTGATGCAGAATTGGTGTCATCGCAGATACTTATTTAAGGTGCTGTTTTTGGGTGCCTAGGAGGATTGGAGAGAATCCTATGCAGTGCACCAGAAGCTAACGGGCGAACGATTTTGTGAATATATGTAAGGCGTATTAACTCTATTTCGTTTAAGGTGATGAGGGACTGGTAATCGAAGTTTCCCACAATTATATGAATAGACCTTACGTTTCTATTGAATTTCACATAATCTTGCTTTATCAAAGGTATTCTCATCCAGGGTGGACAGCAGTTCCAACTTAACCTAGCTCTTATCAACGCACCCATCATGACTCAAACAATGACAACGCAAAATATAATCTCAATACCTTAATCGCTACGCCACATTTCCACGAGTGTCCCTGGGTCAGAGGGCAGATATTAATTTCAACAAAGGCCAGGCACTTTCCATATCAAATTCTGTATTGTTAGTGTCGATGAAACAAACTTATATTTGCTATAGCAATCGACGACGTTACTTATATTTAGTTGTGAGTAGGTTATCGAGGTTAAGAGTACATCAAAAATATGAAGTGTATTCACCCTATTTCGTTTATGGTAATTGAATTTTCCTACAATTATATGAGTG